CAATGGCGCCACATAATGAAGCAGCAGTTTTGAGTAGAGTGGTCCTAGCTCAGCAGCAGTTTGTGATTTATTAGCGCTCTCTCCTCTCCGCTCGCAGAGTGCCGGAGACCACGAAGCTGTCGGAGGCGCTGGGGCGACATCTGTCGGTTGGGCCGGCAACTAACGCTTTGAAGGATGATCCGCTGCAGTTCTACCGCGCTGCCTTCGAGACGGGCTCTGTGCGGGTGTTCCTTCGCCTGGAGCGGGTGCAGCAGGGCGACAGGTAACAGGAGGGATGATCTGCGGTGACCGGAAGGGCGGGAGGGAAGCTGCAGAGAGGGGATTTCGTATTCCACCAGCAGCTCTAGTCAATAGTCACATCCTGCTCAAATCCACGCTTCTGTATATCAATGATATCCGGTGTATGTGTGTTACTCTGTGTGCCCTGTATGTATGCTCCCAGCACATGACGTGTGTGCCTGACCTGTGCAGTGTCTACCCAGTCTCGTATGCTGTGTGTCTCTGATCCGTGTACCCAGTACTGTAGTGTGTGTACCTGACCCATGCACCCGTTTCTCTGCGCGCAGGTACCTGGAGCTGCCGCTGAGCCGGCCGCTGGCCGAGTGTCTGAGGCAGCAGCTGGTGATCGAGTTCCCCGTGCTGGTGGTTACCACAGAGGAGCACGCCGAACAGTACCGCACCGACCGTATAGAGGGTACGCGGCCGACCCTCAGGGCAGATCACCATACCCCCAACCCCAGTCCCCCCATACACACAGCTCACCAACCACGGGCTGGTCAATGTGGGCCAGTTCACACTCCAAAGAAACACCGTTTGAATACAAACGCACCACTTTGTTCTGGGTCTTTGTACAAACCAGTGACATTTCGCTTAGTTTGTAGTGCGGGTTAGTTACATCATCGGAAAAAATGTGCCCGTGCCTAATTTCAATGGGAAGAGTGTTCGGATGCAGTTGGATGCTAGTTTTCGTTTTATTTGGGCCTTGGGGGGGTTGTTGTTGTTTGTTTGGGGTTACGGGCGCGCCGACTGCGAGGTCATTTGCGCCCGTGGGGGGGGGGGGGTTGAGCTGCAGTTGAACTGAAGCAGTTGAACAGTCTTTAACCTGATGACTTCAGTACTGAAACACTTTAAGCTTGTCCTGACTAATTTTTCCGTTGTGCTTCGATATATTCGAATTAACCTCACCATGGATAGCTGTTTGTTTGTTGATTTCCCCACCTTGATCTGAGAACGTTATGTGTCGCCGGCAGCGTCCTTCTTCTCGCTGTGTAAGCGCGAGGAGGAGGCCCAGCGTCGCGCGCGACGGGCCCAGCGGCGCCGGGGACCCGCCGACGCCGACGCAGCAGCGCCCGACGAGCCGGCGCGCAAAGTGCCGCGGCCTCGACTGGACGGGGTCTGTGTGGCGGCCGCCCCGCCGCCTGCTCCGCCGCCCGCCCCACCGGAGCCGGAGCCGGAGCCAGAGGAGCCGGAGCCGCAGGTCGGCGGTGAGCCACAGCCGCAGACGGAACCGAAGGCCGCCACCGGGTTCGGTCTGTTCGGAGTCGATGATTCGGACCTGTCGGATTAGGTTGCTATCGTATGCAGACGCGCTCGCCACTGAGGTTTATATGATGGAGACATGAGAGGTTTCCAGCCTGTTGGTGTACTGATGCCGCTGTGATCCCCCAGTGCCCCTATGACGGTCTTGTTGAGTTTGCTGCGGTCACCCAGTGTCGTACAACGGTCGTATAGAGGTCGCCGTTGAGGTGACGCGGATACCGCAGCGGTGCGGTCCAATGGACGGGTGCTGCAGTCCGATGTCTGGGCTGCCCTCTCGGTCAGCCGGGCTGGTGGGAGGGGAGGAGGGGACACATCGATCTGCCCCCGGCGAGCGGTGTCCTGCAGCCCCCCCCCCGGGCCCCCTCCCGACACTGCGGTCCCTGAGATGACTGTTTGTCGATCGATAACGTCGAGAAACGTGGAGAGCGGCTCGGGAACGTTCTCTGACGTCACGAGTCGGTGCTAGATATTTCCTACAATTTACAAGAATGTGCACCTTGTAAAACAAGTATGAACTGATTTCGTTTTTTTACGGTTATTATGTTCGTCGAAGATCAATATAGTTTTGTCAAAGTGATTATGGCTCTAATGTTTTACACCGGAAAAACAATGATGTTTGGTGAACAAAGCTCTGCGAACCTGCGTTGCACAAACTTGCGACAAATCGGCTCACGAAATCGTGTTTCTTATTAGGGCCGAAGTCCTATCAGCGTGTTTGGTTTCGCTTCAGTAGGAAAGTGGATGATTTTGTCCGCGCCGGCTGCTTAGTTTAAAAAAGTGGGGAATGGTGCAAAATCTTTTACATTTCGAGGTGCACGTGTAGTGAGATGCAAGAAGTGAGAGCAATGTATGACAGCCAGCTGAACCACAAATATTGACTGGTTATTATCGACCCGATCAGTTCTGAAGTCTGTCGATGTGGCACCAGTCCGGCCGTTAGCTCGCAAAAAGTGCCGGGCAGCGCGGGCTGGGTTTTTCACCAGCTGTTCCCGTCCGAGCGCCGCGCCGGCCGGTGGCGGCTGCGGCGGTCGCCCGCTGCCACGCGGCAGTAGCCTGCATGCCGTGGCCTGTGAATCATGTTCAGCCATTCGTGTCGCTGCAATGAACCGGACCCGGGTCTTCCACGCGGAAAGAACCAGGACGTCTATTGAATGAAAGGACGGCATTGCCTAAAAAACGGCCAAAGATGCCGTGAAATAGACAGTATTGACGAAAATTATGCTTCAAGATAGGTGCTGTATAAATGTTTGGTATGTTGGTAGCCAGTGGCGCGGGAACCGGGGGGGCTAGGGGGGGCTGAGCCCCTCCAACTTTTCGGCTGGGGGGGCTCGTAATGTATTTGAGCCCCCCCCCCCCCCCCCAGCTGGAGGAATCGAAATCGGAAATCTACCAACACGATTTCATAGATTCATACATAGGCGCGGGAACCGTGGGAGAGGGCAGTGGGGGAAGCTTGCCCTCACAACTCTGGGGCCGTGGGGGCGGTGCCTCACAACTTTTCATGAGGCCAGGAACCGTTGGGGCAGCTTGTCCTCCCCAAATTAGGGGTTGTGAGTCACAAAGGAAGAAAGCATGTGAGTGAAAAATCTACCTATTTTACTGACTCGGCAACTCATTTGGCAGCTTAAAACCTTTATTCCAGGTTGCCAAAACGGTAGTTTCTTCACTCAGCTGAGACGGAATGCCTCACTTTTTTTGCAAATATTTTCTTCTTTTTTTTTCGTTGAAAAGGCCAAGGTCTGAAAAATAAGTGGCCTAAAACCGATGAGAAAACTAGATTTGGGGGTACCCTAGGTTGATCTCTATGATGGTTCAGCCCCCCCAGTCTGGAAGAAGTTCCCGCGCCACTGTTGGTAGCCGATGCGAGTGTTGTTGCACAACGTTTCGCCACAGCCGATTTCGTGAACCGTTGAGACTCTGCCGGGGAGGGATGGGCTGTTGAGGCAGAGGTTCCGCCGCCCCGGACAGGCGCTGGCGGCGCGCCGCCATATGGCTGCGGATGGCAGACGTGGCCTCCGCGAAACCAGTCAGCGGCGGCGGTGGCGATCAGCTGGGGGCGCGCCGGCAGCGCCATCTGTACCGGAACCACGAACCACGCCCGGCCGGCGGCCACGTCACGGCCGCCGACCCTCTCGACCGGGGGCAGCAGCCAGCAGGCGCCGGCGCACCGCCAGACGCCTCCCCAGACTGGAGAGATTTTCAGCTGTTCGCTCCCAGTTACCACGGGCCGAACCGATAGCCCACCCAAAAACCGCGGCAGACTTGGCCGGCCGCCAGGTCCGCCCGATCAATGCTCCTATGACCTTGGCCGTGGAGACTGGAGGAGAGCCAGAGCTGCCGGTTTTCCGCCAGACGAGCACGGCAGAGGGAAATTCTCAGCTCATGACCAGCGAAATGCCGGAGACGAGGATTAGATGGCGAGCAGTAAGCACTGCATTGGTCTCTCCGTCCACATCTTGGTGCTCGTCAAAGCTAAGACAGGCTCCTTCGGCAGTCAGTCGAAAGCGCATGCTAGATCTTATACCCACTACCCAAATCCCAGATGCTGCAGATTAGCTCTCAATTACATAACGCATCCATGCGAGCGTTTGCTGTACCTATATGCTAGCGTGCGATTTTCAGACTGTGTGAAGTCTTTTTAGTATAAAGACTGCAGGCACTTGTCCGAGTTTACCGAACCGTCGACACGGTGACCCCGAGGCGCCATGGAACATGACTCATCCGATCAATAATGCGGTTCCAGCTGTGCCGACCGACTCGACTCCCCACACTCCCGGCTACCTAAACGGGCCCCGGTTTCAACTGCAAGCACATCAGGCACCGGACCGGCCTACCAGGATCACTCGGTTCAAGATTCATACGAGGGATCTGCAGATCCTTGGAGGAATTGTTGAGCCGGACAAAAGTGAATGATCCTAATAGTCATTCGGAAATAATATGCATACTTTGACCGGCAATGATCAGAACTTCAAAAGCATCAGCATCCCCGTTCCCAGAGCCAGCAGTCATAACAGTTGTGCAGCGAGCTTCTCGAACAACGCGAATCTGATTCACCGTGCTACTCAGTTCCAATTACTAATAATGACCTGTGAGACGAGCGATTCCTGCCACCCGTCCTCCCCCGCAGTGTGCGGTGTCCCGAGCCCCGTATGGTGCCCCATGCCAACGCATACCAGCCGGCCGCCACGTGGACCCACGCCGGCCGGCCAGTCGGGTCGCCCACGCCGCCGCCCGTGACGTCATCGCCGCGCCCCACGCTTCCCCCAGACGCCACTACCCACAGCCCGCCGGCTACGGAACGGTGATTGATCCAACAGACAGGATCATTTAAGGCAGTGACCCTAATTTATGAATCTCCATTCCGCAAATTGCAACTGCGATCCCCCCACCGGTATAGATTCAGTGTCCAATTACTATCTGACCCGTTCACCCTTCAGACGGGAAAAAAGAAAGGCCACGTACCCGGTATTGTCCATAGGTTTATTTATACGCCCAGGTGACACAATCACATGGATAGCAGAGTATGGGTCAGTCGATAAAAAACTGATGGGCTAGTTTCCACATACTCTTTTCCTCCGGAACTCCTTGCGGTGACAATGCGACATAAGCCACTGAGACAGAGAAAACGAACAGTTAAGCTTTTTCTCGCCAAATGGCCAGGCGGTGACACAGAACGAAATGCCTTCCTTCTTACGGTACGGAGAGCAAACACCTGCGGTCTCACAAGTGGCATCCATGTGGGGGGCAAATACCTATTTCTTGCCGGCCTTCTCGGCAGCCTTGGTCACCTTGCCGGACACCACCTTGGGGGTGACTCCCTTGATGACACCGACGGCCACCGTCTGCCGCATGTCGCGCACGGCGAACCGACCCAGCGGCGGGAAGTCGGTGAAGGTCTCCACCACCATCGGCTTGCTGGGGATCAGCTTGATGATGGCGGCGTCGCCGGACTTCAGCGACTTGGGGGCCTCCTCAGTCACCTTGCCGGTACGGCGGTCCACCTTCTGCTGCAGGTCGGCGAACCGGCAGGCGATGTGGGCCGTGTGGCAGTCCAGCACGGGCGTGTAGCCGGCAGACACCTGACCGGGGTGGTTCAGGATGATGACCTGAGCGGTGAAGTCCTCGCAGCCGGTCGCCGGCTTGTTCTTCGAGTCGGAGGCGACGTAGCCACGACGCAGCTCCTTGACGGAGACGTTCTTCACGTTGAAGCCGACGTTGTCGCCGGGGAAGGCCTCCGGCAGAGATTCGTGGTGCATCTCGACGGACTTCACCTCAGTGGTCAGGCCGGACGGGGCGAAGCAGACGATCATGCCGGGCTTGATGGTGCCGGTCTCGACACGGCCCACGGGCACCGTTCCGATACCGCCGATCTTGTAGACGTCCTGCAGGGGCAGACGCAGCGGCTTGTCGCTGGGGCGGGTCGGCGGCTCGATGTTGTCGAGGGCCTCCAGCAGGGTCTTGCCGGAGCCAGAGCCGGACTTGCGGGTGGTCTCCCATCCCTTGTACCACGGCATCTTGTCACTGGCCTCCAGCATGTTGTCGCCGTGCCATCCAGAGATGGGCACGAAGGCCACGGTCTTGGGGTCGTAGCCGACCTTCTTGATGTAGGTGGAAACCTCAGAGACGATTTCCTTGAAGCGGGCCTCGGAAAACGGCGGCTCGGTGGTGTCCATCTTGTTGACACCGATGATCATCTGCTTCACACCCAGGGTGTAGGCAAGGAGGGCGTGCTCGCGGGTCTGGCCGTTCTTGGAGATACCAGCCTCGAACTCGCCCACACCAGAGGCGACGATCAGCACGGCGCAGTCGGCCTGGGACGTACCGGTGATCATGTTCTTGATGAAATCCCTGTGGCCGGGAGCATCGATGATGGTGACGTAGTACTTGGACGTCTCGAACTTCCACAGGGCGATGTCGATGGTGATACCGCGCTCGCGCTCAGCCTTCAGCTTGTCCAGCACCCAGGCATACTTGAAGGAGCCCTTGCCCATCTGAAAGGAAGAAAATGTATCATCAGAATATTAACTACCACATCCTCACGCGGGGAATGGGGATGGGGCTTCAAGGCAATGTGCATGGGAGTAGCGTGTGTATACATTGCTGGACAGTAGTGAACAATGTTTTAAAACAAAACAGCCGCCCGCATACTTTTTTAATTTCCCGAATTTTTGTTGTAAGACGACATAACTTGTCTGAATACGTTGCTTCATAGCTCCAGCACTATCTGAATAACACATCTCGTAAGCTCGACAATTACCTGCTGGGCCTCAGCCTCGAACTTCTCGATGGTACGCTTGTCGATGCCACCGCACTTGTAGATCAGGTGACCGGTGGTCGTCGACTTTCCGGAGTCGACGTGGCCGATGACCACAATGTTGATATGGGTCTTCTCCTTTCCCATGGTGGCGGAATGTGTAGGCTACCAGCACAAGAGACTGCAAAGAAAGAAAAATGTTAACAGAGTTGGTACAACAGGAGGGCTGGCTGACAGGATGCTAAGGGAAAAGTATTAAAAGTGAACAACTTTGAGAAAGCAATCATCCAGAGTTTGCCTTCATTTGTTCTGGAAAAATATATTGTAATGCCTAAGCATTTGCTTGCATGTCAAGTATCTCAATTCCAATGGCAATTGAGAAACAGGATATGTCAGGACTATGTAACATGACAGGACATTCGCAATGAGTTTCAGGTAGTAAAGAGCTATGAACAGCCAAAATGATGATTGTTGTCTAAACAAAAGGACCAAGCTGCAACCAATTCCAAAATGACTGCACTTCAGAAAAGCAAGTATAAATTTTGGATGAAAACTGATCTCTGGATTGACAACTGGCACTACTAGACCAGTAACCAGTAGTCACAACCTGAGTCAGCTATTACTCATTGCTAACAAAAGCTGAAGCATTGCTGAAGCATTGAGCCTACACGATCAGTTGCATGCTCCAGAAGCCATTTACTAAATAAGGTTAAAAGTAAGGATTCCTGGAGACATAAGTCCCATTCCATTTCATGTTTCAATGCATGTATCCCACATTCAACAGATCATAGCCAAATAGATAAAGCCAAGAAATGATTCAACATTGATGATCATTGTTTGCCAGTAATATGTAATATGCAGGCATCAGTCAGCTGCCCTACAATATAGTAACCACACAACTGAAATTTTTCATCCAATAATCCAGAAGAGATAATATCTAGATCATTCACTGAAAGTAAGCAACTTATTGACAACCTTACAAGCAATTTTGCAATGATAAATTTGAATCTCCTTTTTAAGAACATTGCAGCTTTAAAAATTTAAACCTCCCATCTGAATAATAGTTAAACTTTATACTTCAACCGTCAACTAAGCTGACACATTAACTTAGCAAGATAAATGGTCCGTTTTCATAATACTTTTTCCAGTTTAAGATTCAGCTCTCCACTGATACAGTAATGCTGCACAAATGAACACCAACACACATGTTGGACACAACACATCCATCCACCACAAGCACATCAGACCCCACTTCCAAAGATAACCCATGAAACACCACAGCTAAGCTAAAAAAAACACCTGAAGATTATTGATGACTACATGAGCTTTATCATCCTGATATTTATGCCTAAGTGCACCTATCATTCTAAGGAGCAAGTATTCATGAGGACAATTTTCTTAGTCAGTTTAAGGTTGACAACGCGGTGCAGCTTATCAATTTTGAACCCAGAGGACTGCTCAGGTTTGAGCAGCATTGTGCTGTGTGCATCACACCCTGGCAATGAGGTAAAAATGGCTCATTGCAAGCTTAGAATAGATCTGTGCTGCGTGCACCATAACTTCAGCTGCTTGGCTCCGCCAACTCCTCTGGCACTGCACGGTGGTCGGGCTCTGTTGCAGCGTATTTCATGCACGACAAGACCATGGCATTTACTAATGGTGGTTATCATTCAAACATGGTTTCAATGCAGTTGTAAGAGATTAATGGCATTCACTGACTAGGTAAACGCAAACATAAAAACACAATCATCCCAGTCGGGGAAACTGTGGTAAAATCTGCTTTTTTTAGCAGTCTGCTAATTTGAACAGGAAATCTGCCAAAAATGGGTACATATGTGACGTCATCGTACCCAAATATAGCAGATTTGGGTACGGACCCATACAAAAGCAGATCTGCACCCTAATTGAAGCAAATGCGCATTAAATGCCTGGCAGATTCGTGACTAGAATAGTGCTGAGAATGTCCTCGGATATTTTCATTCAGATCAGACTATTTTCAAATAATGATGTGCATTTGCTTCAATTAGGGTGCAGATCTGCATTTGTAGGGGGCCGTACCCAAATCTGCTATATTTAGGTACGATGACGTCACACGCGTACCCATTTTTTGCAGATTTCTGTTAAAAATAGCCGACTGCTAAAAATAGCAGATTTTACCATAGTTTCCCCGACCGATCATAATCAAATTGGAAATAAGGGACAGTACATTTAACTTGCACCACTGCCACCTCCAGCACCAATTTTAGAGCCTCATATTGAAACAACAGCAAAAGACATCACAATGAAATGATGCAAAAGTGTGGCCAGGACTAACAGGCAAAGCTTCAGTGCATACATGCTGCAAGATATTTGATTCTCAATGCGTAGCCGAACAGCCCTCTGTGCAGTAGATTTACACAGGCTGCTGACCATCCAATGGGACCACAGCAGAGCCACCACATTCACATCACCAAACATCCTTTACAAGAAATGTACACTTAGCATTTGCTGTATGAAGTACTTTCTAATGTATAGATCGCACATGCAGTATGCTCAGGCCGGCAGCCACCATGTGGCGCCACATACGTCACAAAGCCCAATCAGTTAAAAATTTAGACCAGAAACGGGAAATCTTGAAACAGAGATCGCTTAATATAATCCATAATTACGATTCATTCCAATATCCAGGATTATTAAGGGCCAGACAAGCCAGAAACACTTAAAAGAGCCTGCGGAGCCGGCACCGCACCTCCGGACGAGCCAGCAAAACTAGTCACAAAACTCAATAATCGTAACGAACAACAACCTTTTCGCAGCTAGGAATTGACAGATTTAAAAGGGGCCTCGCATCTATTCACAAAAGAACGATCAAACAACAGCCACTTCGCAGATATTTACCAATGAATTTCACAGCATACAACACACGTCCTACCTGACAGCGAGCCGGCTTAGAAAGAGGACGGAAGTAGGTGGTGCTGTTTTAGGATGTCGCGATGAGGATACTAGGGCTGCTCATTAATGAATCAATTATTTTGCTTTATTTTAAACATATTTTGAACTATGAAATATTTTATTTTTTGATGTTCCATAAGCATTTTTATCTTATACCTTCCATTTATGAGAAAAACAGTCAAAACCTAGCATTGTAGCGGAAATGACGTCATGCTAAGCCAGTGCTAGACAAACCAAGTTCTTGTGCCACAAAAGTAGATATTTAGCATGGAACAAATTGTAAAATGTTGAATATTTCAAAAGAAATATTGTTAGCAAATAAAAAATCCTTTTTTTACATTAATGTTTGAAATGAAGATGAAAAATATTATTTCGTCTCTAAACTTTTAGAGTGGCTGTTTTTCCAATGAACCACCGATGTTCAACATTATAGTCTGTTTCATATCAAGTTTGCAGTCGGAGTTTCTTCGGCAGATCGCTCCTCCGCTCAAAAATTTGCGTCTTAAAATGTAAGAGCTGTATATACAGAAATCACGCACAGCTTTCAGCAAAGCACTTCGGCTGCAAGCTTGAAACGGAACAGAGTATAGCCCCGTTTACATAGGATTGTTGCAAGCTTAGGTATAGTACAGCTCCGCCTGTGATGTTGCAAAAGATGACAATGCTGCTTTACAAGCTACAAAATTATCCCTTGAAATATGCAAAGATCACTGCAACGAAATTATCGCAAAATAAATGAGTTAGAGCTTCGTCAAAAATGCTATGCAAACGCGACTGTTGCTAGTTATAGGTGCAGCCAAGTGCAGCCCTCTGCTCACTGTGTGCGGTAGGTAATACTTGTTTCAGAAAAACCGAACAATATCTCAAAAGCTCTGCTAGCGCGCGAAAGTCCTAACGGAAGGACTCGCGTCTCGCAATACCACACGACTTTTTATGAGCCCCTTGTTGACTAGACCAACATCTCCGTGTGATCTCTCCTTGGCAATTGACAAAAGTTTGTATTTTCCGTCCTGACTCCTGAGACTAACTTCTTTTTGTCCCCCTCCTAGAACCGTCCTTGCCATGCCTTCAATGCGCTCAGCTGGCAGCCGCTTTCTACGAAACGGTAGTGCCAGTGCGAGTAGGGTGCCGGTGCGTAAAAAGGCATGGATGGGTGACCAGAGCACCCACCTTTCCATGCTTCTATCCTCAGGATACTGAAATCCTTCTCCTCCACGCCGCAACCCCCCTCCGGGCTGGACAGGCAACTTTATCTCATGCGGGCTGCTCCCTTGGAGCGGCACCGCTGCTCCTGAGGGAGCGCACCCCGTAGCCGGGTGCAGTGAGTGCCTTGGGGCTGAGTGGCCTGTCCTCTGGACGGGCTCAGCCCCGGCGACTCACTAGGGTGCCTGCCCAGACCAATGTCTCCCCCTAATTCCTATCATCCTTCCGGCTCTGCAATGGTCTTGTCGACCGAAAGGGCCTAACCCAACAAAACAAACAAACAAAAAGACCAGAGCAGAGGCTAAACCAGACGGTGGGTCAGTCGGCCGGCACTGTGGGGCAGGGAGGTTGCAGCGGACCGGGGTCGCTCGGGTCAACAGCCCGAAGCTATGTCTCGGCCAGAAGCCGACTCAGTCTGGCCCGACCCAACCCGGCCGTCCTAAAGCACAGGGACGGATGGCATTTTCATGATTGTTACAGGAGTATTTCGACTTTTTGCTATGCTATCTCAGAACCTACCGAGCCGATTTTCAGAATTCCGAAAAGGCCATAGATAGCGGGTATGGATTTACCAAGTAACCCAGTTGCATTGACCTCGGTCCCTCCGATGGAGTTACAGATCACCGCAAAGAAATTTTCAATAGCCGTTTTCACGACGGTCGGGTCATCTGATACACATTTGGTGCACATCTGGACGCATATTAGATGCAGATTTGGTCAAATTAGGTTCAGTGTGTCTCTTAGTAGCTATCAGCTAGGGTTGCACTAATTGCCTATATGCCTGCTTTGTCATATTATCAGAGAGTATCATCGATTAAAACACTGAAATAAATTCATAAAATAAAAATAGGTATTTGCTGTAAAAGAGATTAGGTGCAGATTTGGCCAAATAAGGTGCACTCGCCGGATAGCCCGTCGTGAAAACGTCTAATAGGTGCTTTTCAGAGCTAGGGGAATGTGGGGTAAGACGGGCACCTTAACTTTGGAGCCATTTTCGGCCGGTTAGAAACATTAAAAACGGGAAACTGAGTTAAAACTTTTTTTAGACATTTTACTTCCATTTGCCGGAAGTTGAGACTTAGACCTGATTCAACAAATAAATTGCAGCTATTTTGCAAAGCCTTGCAAAAACCCATGGGGTAACACGGTCACATGGGTAGGGCGAGACGGCCGGCTTCGTTCACCGAACAGCACAGCTCGCAGCAAATGCCCGAGATTAGCCGCATTGATACAGTCGCTCGTTGGTCTCAAGTGCTTCGGAAATGGCAGCATACGAGTGATTCGTGCAGAAGGTGTATGCTCGTATATAGGCCCTAGTTCAGAGCCGTTTTTCACATTCATTATTCGAGAATAAACTGTGCCGAAGGAATATTGCTAACATGTCTGTGAGTATCGGAATCGAACATATTCTTATTAGAAATGCTTCTTTTTTTTCCTACAGCAACAAAAATATTTTCACCATTACAGACCCATTGGATTCATAGTTGCCCGTCTTCCTCAAACTCAATGTCAGAAGTTCAGCACGATTTTTCTCTGTGGACAATTTGATGCAGACAAAGCAAATCCGCGGTAAATGAACACTGATGGCATATGAGTGTACCACAAGTGATTGCGAGTTTTTAACTCTATAGTGCTGCACACAAAATCTTGCACAATACATTATGGATGTTTTCAATTAAATGAGTGTTTTAAAGAAATCAAAACAAAAGATTATGACTGAACACAAATTCACCAGACTTCAATGGTGGTGTGTAGTGGGAAAGGCAATTTTGGTCCTAATTTTTCTCGCTCGTAGCGCTATTGGTTTGGTCTGCAGAAGGGATGCCCGTCTTACCTACCCTGACCGTCTTACCCCACTTTCCCTACAGGGTGCGCAAAAAGTTCTGGCACTCTAAGCGCTCCTACGCGTGTTGCGGCTGCTTTTCGGGAAGCCAATAACCGCACGCAATGTCTTCAATGATCCTGCTACACAGCCAGATGTCGAACAAAGCGAAAAATCAGGCTTCCAGCTCTAAAAATGTTAAATGCAAAGCAGAAAAACTACCTGGGGGGGGGGATGGCAACCACCCACCCCCATGTGCGGGCGAGGGGATGTAAAACTTTTCAGAATGGCAATGCGGGGTAATTTGGCCGGTGCTAGTGGAGCAGCCTATCGACAAATTGTTTGCAGACATTGGAAGATTACGAGATGTGAGTATTTGAGACCGTGAGTTGATCTATTTCATTGATTGCTAAGAATTTTTAATTGAAATTAGTGGATTATTTCCTTACTAAAATAAAAAGTTAACGTTTTTCCCAAACAATGCCCTCTCACTATTCACTAATTATTTGGATTCATTGTGAAAATACTTTTATCACAAATGAATTGCAAATGTTTGATTGAGTAGTGTATGTAAAGGAAGCGCATTTTCAGTTGTGCAGGAAAATGCTGAAATAACCTGAGGCAAAATATTCGAATATAATAGTGCGACACCGAGTCAGCGTAAACATGCGCATAGGACACACGCCATTGCTGATGCTGAAGCTGACTCGCCTGTAACATAAAATATACATGGTGTCCCAGAATTACCCGAACATTGTTAATAAGCGTATAAAATAAGGCAAACATGATTGTGCTTTTTTCTTTTTATCGTTCTATTTAGTCAACTAGGGTGGCTGTGAAATAACACATGCAATAGATAGGGGAGAGTGGGGTAAGATGCCCAGGGTGGGAAAGACGCCCCACCCCCTCTAGCGGGGAAACAAAGAATCGAACCTGGAAATTAATGTTCTTAGCGTAAAGCAGAAGCCTGCCTTGTTAACTGCACAAAAATTTGCGAAGCTCAGTTGGGCAACGGCTGCCTGGTGATTGCATGTTTTTTATTTGCTGCTTTCAAAAAATATTTTGGCGTCAAAACATTGTAAATATCAAAAAAGATAGATAATTTTTGCGTCCCTTGCTATAGTCGTGATACATTAACATGCGTTTACTGTGTCCCAAACAGTTTGTTTCAGGGTGTAGTTTTATGGCTAACAAATTGTGCTGATTTAATGTTACTTCGGTACCTTGCACAGTGGTTGGAAACGGGCTCATGGGTGGCCTTTTGGGGCATCGCAAAGTTGGCCATTTTAGGGTCCATATAGGATGCAAATTGACTGTAGAACTCGATCCTAGCATTGAAAATGTTATGTTTCTCTTATAGATAGGTGCAATCACTGTCTGAATGTTGATGTACATAACTTCTGTGTTGTGCACGATAACCGTGCTTTTCCGTCCGGAGTTTTCAGCATTCGACAGTGCGCATCAGCCTGCAGAAAAGTTAATGTTTCTATACACCAAAATGTTGCCCAGCATGTGTGCTAACGGCTGCAATTCGCGAAATGTGTTTTGGATTTCAAATTAGGCAAAGAAAAATATTCCATTTATGGTGTTCCGACCATACGCTTAAAAATATATATGTTTATTTAAATAGACGAACAACTTTTGTGTTAACTAGTTTTACTTTGGTATTTGGTGTGAAGATAGCCCAATCAATTCTGCATCGGGGCTTGAAGGCCGCTAAGTGCGCAAATTTGCGCAAAACTGTCAACAGAAGAAAATCTAATCGGGGTCACCGCTCGTTGGCGGGCCCTGGAC